GGAATAAAAGCTGCCAAAAATTATCTTGAGAAAATGATTATTCCGAAAAACCATTTTCATACTTAGTCAATATTGCACCTCCGCTCAAAAATTTCTGGGTCCGCCAGTGCTCACAGAGGATAGAACTTGCTCTCACAGTCACTGCTTCGTCCTTTGGGTTCTCCACTGGACCGCCCGCCAAGCCGCCTAGAGACCGATTAGCGACTGCCTAGCCGCCTAGTGCCCGCCTAGCGCACGTTCTTGAAGGTTTCAACAACACTTCACAAGATGCACATTCTTGAAGGTAATATTGGATAAACTTATATATTTCTGTTTCTCATGTTCAACTCCTTGTTACTTCATGTGTGCAGCATCAAATGGAAGACGTCTTTCTACTCTTGGATGGAGGTTCACCAATATTTGAAGGTTATATAGAGAGAGGGGAAAGAGATTGGTTGAAGGTATGGAAAACTTTGTGCTACGAATATGTGATTGGCTACTTAATAAATTAAGGGTTCTATGCATTCCATCATGATCTAATTTAGAGTTGACTTATTCTCTTTCCTATGCAAGTGTGAGTTTATTCCCTTGGTATATCATTACCATTCCATTCAACAATAGCATATGGTTAATACACAACATGCAGGACATGCATTATGAGACCATATTTATAGTGTTCGATAGTTGGTAATTAAGAGCTTTATGTGTGCAAAATCCGTGAATAATAGTTAGTTAATCGGGGTTCTAGTTTTTAGTGGTTACCTTTTAATCAGGTCTTCAGCAAATGAGTTTAATTGGCATTTCCTTCACATTTGGAATAAATTCCCCTCACTAGCATCCGCATCTTTTTATGCTATCCCCATTATTCAGGACGTCTACTGCTTCACATGTTAAGTATTGCAATAATGCATGATTAGTACTTCAACCTCTTTTTCTCTCTCTTCTCGCTGGAACCGACCTGCATCGAACCATTTGCTTGGTCATGAACCGACTGTGGTCGGTAGATGAGAGTGGCGGGTCGATGTTGGTCCCATAATTTCCTTCATCGACTTGATCGGTTTCAGTTTGGTAGGCAGTTCCAAGCACTTGGTCTGGTTAATCAAACTGTGCTTAGCCCTAATCAGCCTCCAACATTGAAATGTGGAAAGTCCTTTTGAATCTACAGAGCATGCACTGCATTGGAATGCGAAAAGTCCTTTTGAACATCCAGAGCATGCACTGCATTCAGTGGCGGATCCAGGTCATAATGTTAAAGTTCCAATTTTCTTTTTAAAATGAAATAATGCAAAAAAATAATAATTTAAAAACACACCAAACTTATTCCAACTAACAAAAACATCATTCAATAAATCAAGCTCATATATGTATTATGTAAGCCATAAATTTCATCAAAATAATAACACCAACCTAAATAATAAATAAACTCACCCAAAAATAACCCAAATAATAAAATATCTTGAATATTAAAAAAAAACAAAAAACACAGTGAATGTTGAACCATTAACCTTAAGGTCTATTTCTATTCGAAGACCACTATGGTAAGTGATGTCTTTATGCTATTCATCTATACTTTTAGTATTTATATGTCTACTCAACAAAATTAAAATAATATTAAAAAAAACCCTAACAAATATCTTCCTTTTAAAAAAAAATTATGCCGGCGCATCTTCTTCTCCCTCTCAGTCTTCATCTTCTTCCTCCCCTTCATCTCTTTTCTTCTCCCTCAGTCTTCTTCTTCTTCCTCCCCCTCTCTCTCTTCTTCTTCTCCCTCTCAACCACTGTCTTCTTCTTCCTCCCCTCTCTCTCTTTCTTCTTCCTCCCTATTTCTTCTCCCTAGTAGCTTGCATCTTCTTCTCCATGGGGTCGTCTCCCATGGTTGCCAAGAGAAACCAAGAACCTCCAAGCCATTTCCAGGGCTGCCATGGGGTCCATTGACCCCATGGTGGATCCGCCACTGACTGCATTGGAATGCGGAAAGTCCTTGTTGAATGAACAATTTCCCAGGTTTCTTTGTATTCTTTTGAAATTTATGATTTTTTTTCTTTTAGTTTGGTGTTTAATTAATTGATTTGATATAGATGTAGTTATATTAAATCGTTATTGCATATGGACGAACGAAGAAGGGAGGACTTAGAAATGGATTATGTTTATACCAAAATGAACATGCTATGAGGACCAGACACGTGAACAAGGTTAAGCCTGACCATGGTAGCCTTCGGCACCCTTCCCACCGATCCGACAATTAGGGCAACTCCCCTCTTCAGAACACGTGGCATGCCCACAATCGACGTCCACAGTCCCACATCGAAATTCTAAATGATATGCACACCTCCCAAGGCCTATAAAAGAGGACCACTATCCCAAATGGAGGTAATCAGAACTTACGACATACTGTCTATTGATATGTCAGTTTATGTTTACTATATCCAAACTTACTTAAGCATTAGAGAGCCTTTGGCCGGTACCACACCGGTGCCCTAAGGTCTTACTGAGCGTGCGTTATCTTGCAGATCACGTGCTCCACCAAGGCCCAAAAGCATATCGAAGGTCTAACATCACTAAGTTGAGCGGGAAAGGTGCCAAACCATTTTTTCGCATCAACAGACTGCTTGGTCAAAGTGTTTGAGAAAGTTGGAATTGAGGCATTGCTTTTGGATGTTCCTTTTGTGTGCAAGTCATGGTACAATGCGACCCTCAATCCTTCATGCTGGCAACCACTCATTTTCCCAGACAACAAATGTATCGAAGTCTGGCCTTGGGATGTGTCTGAATGCCTGGATTTTCAAAATCTTATGGACAGATTTGCGAGTGAGTATCATATTGATGGGGATCGTTGCTCTGTCACCGCTTTTTAAAGTTTGCGATCAATCGGAGCAGGGTAAACTCTACTGTGCTCAAGCTTCCCAAATGCTGCACAGTAGAAGCCTTTGAATTTGCTGCAAATGTGTAAGTTTTCTTCACTTGTTTAAAAAACAAGTTAATTTTCAAAACCCTCAAGTATACCCAGTTTAATTTCCCTTGCAAATGTAAATGTAGCATTTTTGTTGTTGTGGAATTTGCGCAGGTGTCCTGGCCTTGTGACTTTGAGTTTACCAGGAGATTTATTGGACAGCAAACACATGATCCTAGAGCTGATTGGCAAGTGGAAAAATTTAGAGGTGTTATCATTGGGTTCATGCTTAAATTTGGCGAAAATACTTGCAATTATACAAAAACATTGCAAGAATCAAAGGCTCTGTTCATGGACATGAGGCATTGTCAATTGTGAAAGTTGGTGCCTAATATCAAGGGGTTTCCTTCCCCATTGTAAGGTCTGCAGCCACTTAACCATCACGCCAGTCATTACTTTGTGATAATAAGCTATGCAATATGTATTTATAATACATGCGAGTTGTTTCTCAAAATAGAAATTAACATAATTACTTATTGTTTTATATTGTTGATCAGTTACTTAATATAATTTATTTCTTTTCTATTTAATCCATTTAATGTTATTGATTATTTTATTATTCATTATAAGTACTTACATTACTAAATTCCCCTTCAAATTGTTGCTTAATTACTTAAATCTCTATAATTATTTTCTTTGTTTACTACTAAATTCTTACTTTGATAAATTTATTTATGTTCTTAGTTAATTTTCAATCATCACTATTATTTTTTAAGTATGGTAAAGTGCCTGATTTTCATGAAAAAGTCAAGTTGGTTTAATTATTTTTCAATTTTTGATAAATAATAAATATAAGAACGTGTACACGTGTACCATGTCCAATGAATAATGTGAAATAAGGTTACACATGTATCTTACCATGCAATTTATAAAGTGTAAAATATTGTACTAAAAAATGATAAATAAATTACTATGGGGTGTTTAATTATCTTCATTAATTACTCCATATTTTATAAGTCACAGAGTTTGTCATCTCGCAATATAATCAACTTAAATCACTCAAACCCACTATGCAATGCATTTCCTTCCAATTTTTTTATGTCAAAATAATAGATGATTGACTAGATAAATTTCTTCTAAAGTTTCATTAAAAAATTCCATGTATTTATCACAATTTCCGTTGTTTTTATCCAATTTTTATCGATATCGATATCGATATTTACCAAGGTTAGTTTAGATACAATGTTTGATGTGCACACAAAGCGAATACACGAGTACAAAAGGCGGCTACTTAATATACTTGGCATTATCCAATGATATGACTGTATCGAGGTGAATCTGATTTTATATGGGGAAAAACTTTGCATTCCGTATTTTTATAACTTAATAACAAAGAACTACCATATACCTTCTAAAGGGAGCTATCACCATCATCTAGCATTGTGCATACCTAGTTCATCTTCTTGTCACGATAATATAAGAAGTTGTTGGACAGTAATTTGTTGATTTTTCAATGAGATATAATGTGCAGTTGGAGCTTTCTTCTCATGTTTTTTTGTTGTTGTTGTTGGTATTTTAGTCCTTAACCCTAAAATAATACGACAAAATTGTATATTTAAAGCGTACATATTAAAATTTAACAGTATAGCCGGTCGGCTATACTTTCTGAATGGATTCGAATATTTAAACAGTATAGCCGCGCGGCTCTACTCTTCAAACATATTCACGTAGCTTGCACTCGCAGAGGACGGAACTTGCTCTTGCAGTCACTACTCCGTCCTCCGGGTTCGGCACCGGAAAAAGACCCAACCCGCCTAGCCGCCTAACGACTGCCTATAAACCGCCTGGTGACCGCCTAGCCGCCTAACGACCGCCTAGAGACCGCCTTGCGACCGCCAAGCCGCCTAGCGCTCGTTCTTGAAGGGTTCAACGACAATTCACAAGATGCACATTCTTAAAGGTAATATTGGATATCCCACACTCGTAGTAGTAGTTCAGAACTTCAGATAGGTTGATATATAATATAGTCAATATAATATTCAGACCATCGGTGAACTGTCGCGGGAATTTAAATCCCGTCAGCACTGACAGCATCAAGTCTTTTCGACAATTGACCTATTTTGCTTTTTACAAAATATAATCTCACATTAACTCAACAAATCTGATGTTTTGCGGTTCATAAACAACCTTTCTGATGACCCTCTGCTGAAGACGCTTGGGCCTAACTTCAGATCCTATTTCTATCGAGCTTTTCATCAGTTCAAGAGAGTCTTTGCAGAATTTAAAAGCTCTCACCATGAGGTATGTATCAAAAGTCCTTTGCTAATTGGTCTGTAACAGGTGTTGGAAAAGGAAAATATTTCTTCAATGTTCTTAGGAGGACACTGAGGCCACTCCTATGATACATCTTTATAGTTTTCTGCCATTAAGTCTGCTGTTGTTTATATTCGCATATCTCTTTACTTTTATAGAGTAGTTTCCAAATTTTGGTGGTTGGTTTTCTAATTTTCAAGAACTCTGAAGGCACGTGTAACTATATCACTTCAATCTTGAAGATGTTGAGCCACAAATCTTTGCAACACTTAAACATGTAACGGATTGTCTCTTCCTACCTCCAAATATTAGTTGTAAAACACTGAGAATTACATGACAGATGCTTGTATTACCCTAAATTAGCAGGTTTTCTTACAATGAATGCATATGCTATATTGTTGAGGACTGCACCATTATGTACAATCACGACCGCCTAGGCCAATTTTCTCTATGCAGTTACAACATTTCATCAAAGAGAAACTGGAAAAGAATGAATTCACAGCAGCTCTTGCAAATGAGGAATTAGTTTTCTTTATGGTATGTAGTCAATTTTCTTTCTTTTTAATTATTTCTGTACTCTTTTCTTTATGGTATTGTCGACCAACTGAAATTTTCTTTTGCTGTAACTTCTGCAGATGGAATCTGTGTATTCACTATTTCAGATTTTAGATTGGTATATAGTATATACTTTTTTTTAGTATAGCAGTGATAATTCTCTTAGAATTTGCTTTCTCCAGTTTTTATTTAGGGCAAAGATTCATGAAGTTCCCAAATTGCGTGAGGAAGGATCTCCTAAAATACCACTGCAATGTGCACGTGTTATAAGGTACGCAATTACAGTCACTTCAATCATACTCACTTAGGCAGTTAGTGATTGGGGTGACCAGTCTAGAATTTTCAGATTCTTTAGAGGGCATGTGTTTGGTGTCGTTTTTGACCATTGTGTAATGTTCTGAGCGAACTGTTTCCCCAGGTTCTAATTCTGCTGTGATATTTATTATGTGTAGGATGGTCCGAGATGGCTGTTTCGGCTTTAAAGACTATTTTCAATCTCTATGTGATACTGTGGACGGTGGTAAAGACTTCTATTTGCTTGGTTCTGATTTTGAGAGCTATTTAGAGGAACAGGTAATTATTTCTGTTTACTTGGCAGTCCCAACCCAAAGCATGTATATGCAGTTGGAAGTATGGTGTTGTATAACTTAACTATGGTGCATGGGATTTGAAACTATATGACTACAGGCTGCTGTTGATAAAGCATTTGCGGATCCAAATAAGTGGACTCAGATGAGCATCCTTAGCACAGCCGGGTCAGGGATATTTAGCAGCGACAGAACAATCCAAGACTACGCGGAGAAGACTTGGGGAATTGAACCGTGCAGATTCCCTTCTGATGGCTAGCTCACCCTCACCCTCACCCTCACCCTCATCCACACCCCAGTAGCAACATTTTACAGATTTGAATGGAATGTATCGGAAAGATTAAATTCTCATTCCCCAACATCGCTTGTATAAATAAAATAATTGAAGAAATAACTGTAGCCAAATGGGCTAAAGTGGTATTTTAGCCCTAAACCCTTAAATGGCATGACAAAATGGTATGGTTAAAGAGTATAGCTGCCGTATATAGCCGTTTGGCTACTCTCTTTAAATGTTAGTATATTCGAATATTCTAAAAGTATAGCCGCGTGGCTATACGCTCAACACGAGCACTAAGCTTGCACTTGCAGTCACAGCCATTCCGCTTCTCTATCAACTCAACCTTGGAGTTGTTTTCCTCAGTTCCGGCTGCTTCGTCCTCTAGGTTCGGCACCAAAAAATGAGCCAACCCGCCTAGCCGCCTAGAAGAAGAGATCATGAGACTCTTAATTCCTCTAATTCCATTCCACTCCATGCTTCCCGCCTTATTATCTTCTCTCTTGGCTCTCTCCCAAACGACATGTTCACCTCACCACACCAACAACAATGAAGACAATTCCTCCCCTCTGCGAACTCGGCATGGAACTTGATTAATCTTTATTCTTCTTGGTTGGACTGCTTTTCATTCTTCGGATATTGCATTTCTGTTATAGATTTTTGACATTTGATCATGCCCTCTTGTTTGCTGAGAGAAAGGAAAAATAAAATTGATTTCTCTCCTCCTCCTCTTGCACATAGGAACACAAAACCAACCCACCAAAGAACTGGAAAAAAAAAATTTGAAATACTACACCACCTCAAGTGAAAAATCTAATTCATTTAAGCTTTTAAATGTAACACCCCGACCCCAAATTTATCCAATGTTTAATTAATTTAAGTGGAATTGAGAAATTACCCGTGGGATAGGGGTATTTTAGTCATTTTCTTACCCGGAAGGAATTTGGGAATTCCGGTTGTACCGTTGTGTAGAGCACGGTGAGATGAGTCCGTAGACACGTAGTGGGCTCGAATCGGAGTTGTAACGAGAGAGATATGGTCAAATGAAGCTCAGTGGCATAATCGTAAATATTTGGAAATTGGATTTTTGGTTAAAACGGAATTGCCCCCGTCACTCTCTCTCTCTCTCTCCCGCGCGCGTCCCTCTCTCCCTTCTGGTTCACGACAGCCACCATGGCCGGCCACGTTTTGGCCGGCCACGTTTTGC